TTTCCTTTTTGTTTTCCTCCAAAATACTTTTTTTTCAAGAGGCTCATTTTTATCCACTATCATTGTCAAAAGTAGACTTTATATGACAGGAGTCTTGTAGCCTTTCCAAATGGTCTCTAGTTCCTCCTGGGTGTATTTCAATCATCTTTGAATCTGTTTGCCCTGATTTTAATTATGATTCCACCTGGTCATGGGGAAACTTCCAGCTTTCTGTGTCTGTGTAGTGCCTCGTTGAGCCAGACTACCAAATCCATAAACTCAGAGCAAATGGGGATCCACATTAAAGCTTTGGGGAGTAGAAGGAGCTATTTCAGGCACTAAAGCAGTAATTTACTGAATGTTCCTCGGTGAGCTGAGAAAAAATTGCTGAGTTTTTCATGGTATTTAGTTTGCTTCTGGGAATTTAGGAAAAGGGATAATCTGAGCTAATATGAACAAATGGGAAATCTTAGCTCTTACCTGTCCTAAATCAGTGCTGAAAATGTGCTCAAAGATAAAAGTCCAGCCCTCTGAACACTGCAGTGTGTTCCTTTCCTCCTGCAAGATAATAGCCATAGGAGAAGTTCTGTTTCTTTCTCATGACTTCTCTCAAAGTTAATTTTTCACTTTATGCACCAACTAGTAGTTAAAACATGCATGTATTTTTAAACCTCAGGTTACCAAATATCAGGCATTTCTTGCTTACCATGCAGTCTTGAGACACATTCACCACTGTAAACTTAGAAAGTCAATATTTATCGAAAGAAAAGACTGGTCCTTTAACAACTTTGTAAATTACCCTTTCCATTCCGTTGTAACCGCTGCTAAGTCCCCAAACACTGTACAACCTCAAGAGAATTGCTGACAATAAATTCTTTTGAAATAATCTGAACAGAATGGAATATTCCACAAATACTTGCAGAGGGTTTACGAGGCTCCAGGCACTGGGCCAAACAACAGAGATAAAATAGTGACTAAAAGAGACAGCATCCTCACTTCCATGAAATTTACAATTAGGCTAGGGAGATTGATGTAACAGATCTTTACATAATAATTGTCTAGTCAAAACTCTAAGGATTTTGATCCCGATAATGTACTGATCTGGTCAAGATCAGCAATGTCCATCTGGTCAAGGTCACTGCTGATCTTCATGTGGCTAAATCCAATGGACAGTTCTCAGTCAATCTTTCTTAGCTTCTCAGAAGCATTTGATACAGTTGATCACACCCTCCGTTTCTTCAGTTGATTTCCAATTTCATGATATGACTCCTAAATTCATATCTGCAGCCCAACCATTTTTCTGAAGTTGACACTTCGGTATCTATCTGCCTACTCGACATCCCCTCTCGTATTTCTAATAGCATCTCAAACTAAACACATCCTGAACTGAACTCTGAGTTCCTTTCTCCACTCCCCACAATTCTGCTTCTGCCTGAGTGTTCGCTCTTTTATTAAATGGAACCCCTATTCATTCCGTTCATGAGTACAAAGATCTTGGGATTGGCCATCATTTTTCTTTCTTTCATAGACCTCCTTCAACTGACCGAAAAATCCCGTTGGATTTCTTTTCAACTTACGTCACAATTTTACATTCTCTCACCACCTTCATCAGTACCATCTTAGTTCGAGACATCATTTTCTATCATCTGATGAGATTCCAAACTCACCTCTTTGGTTCTACCCTTTCGTTCTATTCTCCCCCACAGCAGCCAGAGGGAACTTTTTGAACC